CTTGTACATAAGGTTGTATATAAGGATCATCATGCAGGAACTTGGACAGTTCAGGGATAACAGCGTCAACAGACATCTAAAAAACATGAAAAGAAATATATAATTACAATAACGTAAATGTTCCATTCTTTTCTTTGCAAAATAAATAAAATCTCAATAGATTACTCTTCAAACTTTCAAAGACAAAATACAAGTTCATTACTTTCAAATGGTTTAAGGGAGTATAATACAGCACAAAGACAGATGCACAGGGCAAATTCTGACATGAAGCGACATGCAAAAACAATAGCTACAAACCTTCCAAAAAACGTACTCTGACAAATTAGATACAGCAACAAAATTKTGACCCAAGTACTAGTAGTTTTGAAAATATATATTCTAAGTGGCATGAAATACATTAGCATTATCTATAACCACCAATGGAGATGAGTAACCTGGGGTGGGGAGGTTTCAAACAAAATTGCTTAAATAGCGACATGGTCAACCCGTCAAATACATTTGTCAACCCGTGTCATGTCGGAGTGTTGGACAACCCTCTTTTGAAATGCAGACAGATGCATGGTTGTATCCCCTAATAGTTCCTCAAAGACAATGCTCGTAAAATACTTATTAGAATTTTACCTTTCAAGTTTTAGCTTGTTTTAATTACATTTCGATAGCTTTCTCTCAGTTCTAAAATTTGTGACTAGCATCTTACGTATTATCTGTATTATATTCTACGTATCATCTACAGATAAACATATACAGGAATGTAACAGCTTATTAACAGGCAAACCATCATTTTAGTTCGATCACTTTGGTTGATGGGCTTCCTGTGGTAACCGTAAAGTTCAAACTTGGAAAGATTGTTGTATGTGTGTTTGAATATCACTGATGCCTCTAAATTCCTTAMAATCTCCCAGAAATATAGATTAATAGTAACTGCACTTATCTATCATGTTTTTTGAGGGGTATGAGCTTATTTAGCTATAGAATTTAGGACCATGAAAGGTCATGCTCCTTCACTAAATAATATTCATTAACCCATGAGCTTTTATAACTATATTTCATGAACAGTATGGATAAAACAAAAGCACATTAAACTGAACAGAGTTTGAATAAATAAATTGCTTTTTAAAGAAATTTCCAAATAATATCATATGTAAGACATAGAGTTCTAAATTAAAACAAGGTCCATGTGGTTAATAAAATACAAAAATAAATTAAGTAACATTCTCTGCTAGATTGGAGTTTTAAAATAAAATCAAATGTACAAGCCTTAATTAGAAATTTCCAAATAATTATCATTTAAAACATGTTCTAAATTTATCTAGGTAAACAAAATTGTGAAGTCCACATGGACTTTCTTATCTACAGATAACAAATACAAAATTAGGTCCATTTTCTGTTAAAAAAGAACATATATTACAATTTTGAAAAGRCAATAAGCAAATTGTACCTTTAGTGGTATAAGAAACAACAGTATTTGTCCATAAACAACATGTGTTAGCCTTAAAAAGTCTGGAGTGTTGATTGTTAATTTATTCAACCTCCAACTCACAATACCAGTTAATGATTAACTAATTATTCAAATATATTAAAATTTCATTTTAGTATAATGTTTCATCAGGATATCATGTTTGTGATAAGGTTAGGGTCTAGAAGGGAGCAAAATTAATCTTTGAAATTCCACAAATTAAAATATTAAGTAAAAGTTACTATACTAAATCAGCAAATGAAGCAGGAAATTTGAATAATCATTGACGACCACTATATACTATAAAAATTGCACAAATAGTACAAAATTCTGTAYAATTCATAGATAATATGTTCTTTAATTCACCTCTATTAATAATTATTATCTATTAAAGAGAAMTTTCAATAATAGTAATGAGAGTAATATAATATGTTTTATCAGTGTTTTTAATTATTGGTTAGATTGAAATTTGATGAGAACTTTTTTTATAATAGTGATAATATTAACTTTAAAATAATTAATAAACTTGTAAAACATAAATTGACAACCTTAAAATGTTAATATTAGCCTTCTAATAGTTTAATTATATTATTGATAATTATTTCAAAAATTTGATAATGATTTCAAATATTTTAAATTTGATTTTTAATATCCTTACATTTTTGATGAATATCACTATCACTTTTAGTTTACTAAAATTAGAATATTACATAAATTCACATTGCTATTAAGTAGGTTGATGTTGCTATTGGCAACAACCCTAAATCTAAGAGCATTTCAATTATTTCAATCTCTTTCTTTTTACAAAAGAGTCAAATGYATCCATGAAATTGTACAAAATCAAAATCAAAATAGCACACATTTGTACTAAATCTACAGCTGAAATAGATGACAAAATCCTCTAATCGCCATTTTTCTTAATACATGTACCATTAACATGTACATGTACTACATGTAAGTTGCCCAAAATAAAGGGTTGGTACAATTTCATGGATTAAAGGAACATGGTCCAGCAGCGTTCAATGCGTTGTTAGATTTTTATATGGAAAATGAGATGACCTTGAATATCCATTCACAATCCATTTCCATCCATTGGTTTAAATGTCAAATCTTATAGTATCTTATTAACTATTATCAGTTGCTTTTTCGCCAGCCTCCAACATCAAAGTTTTTAAAAGAAAGATCACAGAGAACATGTAATTTATTTCCTGACTGCCCAGCCAATAATCCTCTGTTGAGAGGTCGCCGTATTGGAAAATAAATAAATAAAATATCTATATTCACAGGGTATAAAGGGTAATAAAGAGTAAGTTTTTGCTTATATGAAGATGTATTTGTATATTCAAACATGAGCAAAAGCTTGAAAGGAATGCTGGTGGACCATGTATTGACTCTAATGTCCAATGGTTCAAGAAATCACCTTACCCCGCGTCTAACTACTTCGTGTAAATTGTCTCTCACAGCTTTAACTCGTTTCATTCTCTACCCATCATACCTATGAACAAAGTAAAAAGAATAAAATGAATGACAAAAAAGAATAAAACATTTCCAAGGGACAATTTTGGGGATGGGAGGGGGAGGACTGGTGGTTTTGAGGGGGTCACCCAGACAAAAACCATTCTAGAGTGGGGCTATGCAAAATTATTATCCTACATTAATATATTCAATACAGCATATTTATGAAGAATCAAAAGAGTGKGGGACATGTCAATAAGACATAGTCTAAGGGGTGGATCATTTGAGAAAATTGTATTCAACTAGGGAGGGAACATGTTTTCCTTTCTCAAGAAAGTTTTTCTGGGCTTTAGTTTCGGCGATGGAGCCAACTGTGCAACAAGAAAGACTGTAACAAAAATAACAACTCAGCATATCATGTGTCTATTAACAAAAAACACTCTTTGCGTGATCTTGAGGAGGGGATGGCCTGGACGCTTTATCTCATGAATGAAACAAAACAAAAAAGAAAAAGAAAGTTTCAAAAAGCACCAGCCCCCCAGCCCCGCCTCACAAGAAAAAAATGAATAGTCCCAAAGAACTAAAGCAACATTGTTTTCAGTTTAACTGATCAAATCTGTTTTGTGAATATCAATGCTATAATAGCATTAATATTCACAAAACAGATTTGCTAACGATTGCTAACAGATTCTTTGACTGATCAACTTTATGTGTCTGCATCTGTCATCCATGCAGTTATTTTTGTCCTGCCTTTATAACTGCTATGGTTCAGTGATAGCCTCCAACATCCGTGTGTGTAATGATATAATGTACATACATTCATATTTTTAATTGCCMGGTAAACACTCACGTGACTAAAGACCTGTCTATGGTCCTGCAGAACAAATCATTTCAATGTATTCTAGAGCCTTTTTGCACTGTTGTAGTTTAGAAATACGTTAAAGACCTCTTCAAAATCAAATTATTTTGGATTATAGAGCTCTTGCAGCCAACGAAACTTGTGCAAATAAGCTTACAAAATACTGCGGTACATTAAGTCACTTTATGGTCCAAAGTGCATGCTCGAARGCACGGCGCCAAGACTCTCGATGCAAATTGTAAATAATGTAAAACCCTTCTTTTGAGGTTATTTTAGTGAATGCATCTATAAAATGTCAATTAATCCTACTAGAGGTTTAAAATATTAAGAGCTTTCTCACCTTTTACAAACACACAGACGGCCACCATTTTGTGAATGGTAACCTCGCAGGGCAGAGTCTAAGCCACAGGGAACCCAAGCTTGAGGTATTTTTAAAATGATCCTCAGGCTCACTGGTTTGTTTTGGCGAATGTTCTTTGTATATAATTGAGCTTTTTTTCGTCGCATAGCATAGAAAATGCAGCTTTGTGTGTGTTGACTATCAAAAGCACTGGTAATATTTCTTACCAGGGTAGTTTTGGCGCATTAAAGAACTTTTGAACAAGAAGCATTTATAAAAAATCAAAGTGTATTGAAGTGTTTTTTAGTTCGCCCTTGACTTTTAGCTTGCGCTCACAGGGACACTGACAGTGATAGGAGATGAAAAAAAAATAGAATGAAAAAAAAATGCCTGCAGCGTCGCGTTCCGCCGAGTCCGCCGAGAGGGGACTGTTGAAGAGTTGCACCATCAACATGGCGGATCAGGCAACGATTTGGTTTATGAAACCCTTGTGTATAAAACCATAAATTTATCATAGAATTTGCATTTATATAGCAGATATAGGGACATGACTCTTTATAATCCGTGTTCCAATCAAATCCAACTCGACGTGAACTCTTTAGTCCAAATATTTTCCTTCTTGGAGATAAAAGACAAGCAAATTGCAGCTCAAGTTTGTGAGTACTGGAGGGACRTCGTTTATACTCCATCCTTTTGGAAGAACGTTCGTGTTGTTCTCCATAATAATGTGAGAAGATCAGTGATAAGAAGTTTTTGCCAGCGTAGAATCACCCGATTTGTATGCCGTGGTTCGACTGACGAGGATYTAGCGTTGTTGTTTAAAACACACTGCAACATCGCCAGCCTAGAGATAAATTCATGTCGTAATGTTACCCAATGGTTTCTACAGAACAACTTAGGGAAACTGAACGAGCTAGTTTCCCTTCACATTACTGAATGCAGTCACCTTAATTTAATCTCTCTGTACTGTGATAGATCACTCGATAATGTGTTAGCACGTCTGAAAAGTCTTACAATTTCAAGATGCCGAAATAGTGCAAAGTTACAAAAGGTCTTGGAGAAATGCCCAAGTCTAGAAGAAATTTTCTCCGACGGATACTTGGCTTTGGAATTAGTAGATTGTCTAGAAGTCTTGCCCAAGTCATGCCCAAAACTACAACATTTGAAATTGGGCTACGAGTGGTTTAACTATGGAATATACAAAGAAAGATTGCGAGCAGCCTTGCAAATGCTGAATATTAAAGCCTTGGATTTGGAGGTATACTTGTACACTGAAGAAGTTAACGTAAGAGAGGTAGCTGACATTTTCCACAATCTTGAATCTTTGACTCTTCGTGTTTTCGGACCTAGAACTATTTCAGTAGACACACTTGATTATGTTTTCAATAAAAATCAGAACTTGAAACATTTTTCCATTGACATGGAATTTGAGCAGTTAATTCATTTCAGAGGTAATGTTGAAATAAATGAAAAGAAACTATGTCACGCAATTTCTAAGATGACAAAGTTGGAATCTCTAAGTATTTCACTCAAAGGCTATATACTTTCTGGCGAAATGATATACAATATCATTGAGGGAATGCCAAATTTAAAGCAACTTGAAATAGGTGAAGTTGGTGATATAAGTATTGAGTATTCAGATCTCATCGGCGATCAGTTACAAAAATTACGGTCTCTCAAAATTACATCAAAACAAAACGAGGGAACTGGAATTGGGACTCTTTGCAGTAAGCTACCAAACATTAGAGATTTAAAAGTCAAACATGATCGCCTTCTTAATCGAGATGTGAAGCAAATGTCAACTAGCATGACATGCAGCAGCCTCAAGTCACTGAGCATTGCTGGAAGTAAGAAAATAAAAGATGACGGCATTCAGTGCATTGCAAGTTCCTTCAAATCTTTGATCAGTTTGGATGCTTCTTCATGCAGTTTGAGTGATTCTGGT